CTTTTAAAATTGCAATAACTTTGAAGGTACAAAAGATATACTTACTTCAGAAATAAAAAGGACTTGTAAAAGGGTTAGTGGTTATCTATAGTATAAAATAAAGCTGATAGGATTTTCTATAAAACGTTTTTTATTTAAAAACTCTACCTTCTATGGTTAAGAAAATTTTTTTTTTAAAAGTGTAGTACTTACACACGTATTCACAAACGATGCTTGCTTAAGTGAAGCAGCAAATCGAACGCACAGTGTGTGATTGGTTCTTTCTATGATTGGTTCGTGTGTGACCCTGACGACCCTGTGCGTCCACGCGCACTGTGAGACCTCATAGTAATGTTTGTGAATACGGGCATTAGTTTTGCAGGCCAGTGTAAATCTCAAATAATAAGTACAAAAATGTTACAGGTCTTACAAGAAGTTAAACTTACCCAGCTTCATTACAGCTTTAAGCCCTTTTTAGTCTTAGTGTAGGCTAGATAATATTTTTAGTTAATATCTGAAATCACAAATATTACATAGTTAATAAATACAATTTTAAAAATGTGAGTTATAAACTTTAAACATCAGATTGATAAATGTTCGCGACAAAAGAAACTGGTAATTTGTGTAACAGATAAATCAGAAGACATAAGTAGCTCTCTGTGTATCTAATGATGATGAGTTTTGATTTAAAAGTTAAGTACCTACCTGGGTTAGTTAAGTAGGTACCTATAAGGATACAGATACAGTTCAATCTCCCAATGAACAAAATTAACGGTTTTTAGTCGCGCGGAAATAGATCTATATTATCATTTTAATATGTAGACCTGTAATAAATAAGGTAAGTCAAAGACATTATTTTTAATCCTAACCGATTTCGCTATCAGGGCTTTAGCTTTTAAAAAGTTCAAAAAGTCGTGGGATCGAACTCCTGTTCCCTGGAAAATATCCTGGGAAAGTTACTTTTTCATATTTTTTGTTTTGCAAGCCTACCTACATGATCCTTACAAATGTTATCGCCACCCACGTTGTTACACGAAATATCTTTTTACAATAAAAGCCAAAATAAAAAACAATGAACATCATTATCTTTCATCATAACTGCAAATGTGGGTATATTTAATACTCAAGGTAGTGTTTTATAAAAAAAGTTAAAAAATTATTTAATTACGTATTAGGTACAGATTTATAAGTTATGGAATCCATTAATTAACTTTCTTCTTTTGATTTAACAAATTAATACTCGTATTATGTCAAAACGGCATTATCTAATTAATTTATTTTAGTCAACTGACCAAATTAGTCAATATTTTCAAGGAAAATATAATAAAATTAGCAATTTTTTTATGTGCAAGTTACAAGACTAATAATAATAAACGAATAAAAAAGCTCCATTATAAATCTAGCAAGTTACATACCTTTGTATTAATGAAACTATTAATTGTTCACGTTCTCGGAGGAGGTTCTTGTATTATTGAAACTTCATAAATAAAATTTGACCACGTTCTCTGAAGAGGTTATCTCTGACACTTCACTTGACGAGTAATTTGCGTTCGCAAAGTGTTCTCAATTTTATATCAACTCCTGGGCGACTTTTTGCTACCTACCGCCTTCATAATTTATTTTGTTTTATCGATTGCAATCCATTCTCGATTAACAGCCAACGTTATGGCGGATTTACACTATGCGGAAATTAGCCGAGTCAAGTCAAAAAACCAGAGGAGTGGGGATGAAATTCATTCATTTTTCATCCCCACCCCACTGTTTTTTGACTTGACTTGGCTAATTTCCGCGCAGTGTAAACGCAGCATTACGATTTTTTCATTGAATATCGATCAGAAATAATTCTTTCATGTTAATACACTTTAAAGAATTATGATAACAAATAAGTAGGTACAATCAATTTGTAAGTAGGTATTATGTTTTGTATTGAGCTTCACATAACTGATCTTAAACGAAATCTACAGCTCAAACCCGAAAGTTTCATAAAGTTTTTGTATAAAATTGTGTAACATCATGTTCGAGTGACGATGCCCTATTTGTTCGAAAATACAATATAAAACGGAATTGTTTCAGTCTGAAATTAAAAACGTATGAGGGACCTGAGAGGCTTGCCGCCTTCGATCAGTTCGTTAACGACGAACGTAAGCCCACGACACCGATACATTACCGTTTGCCTCAAGTGAGAAGCGAAAGTTTATAATATTTTTTTATCAGGATTAATATTTCTATTAATAAAATTGGTCTGATATGTGTATGTTTGCAGTGAATACTAACTAAGTAAGCAGTTTAACTGGCAGAGTATGCAAAATGGCATGAAGTTCGCGTTATTTACCAATTTTGTGTCATACTGGCATTAAAGTATTTTCTTGATTGTTACGCCAGGTAAAATTATAAGACAAATAAAAACATTTATAATAGTTATTGAAGTGCTTAAAATAAAATCAGCGATTCCTCATAACACTTAGGCTGAGTTGCACCACCTAATTTGACCGTAACTATAACAAGTTTCTTTGTATGGAGTTTGACAGATTTTTGACGTTTGTCAAAGTTAAAGTAAGATGGTGCAACTCAGCATAAGAATCAAGTAGGTATATTAAAACATGTAGTATTCTTGGACCACACCAGAGACGTACGATTGCTTTGTCGCTGTACTACATCGCCTGTTTAGGTTGCTAGCGTAGTGCAGCGCTAACAAGCACTGGCATGGAATCTTTTGTTTCACTACCTAACGGTGCCAATATATGTATTATAAGAGGTGAAAATTTTCGTTGGTTACACTGGTACCTAGGTTTTTTGAAACGACTTTCAGAGGCTACGCAAAGGAGAAAGGGATCTACACTACAAACTACACTTTTGCCCAGTAGTGGTATAAAAACTAATACAAAAGTACTTGACCTATGACGTAGAGCCTAAAAGTTGAGCTTCGCAGCCCAGCGGTCAATGTAATAACCCGGCAATTAAAAGGTCGTTATTTGTGTTCCCACATAAGGCAATAGATTTTTTCATGGTTAAAAATTAATTTGAGTTATGTTGAGTATTTTTATGACAAGTAGGTACATTATTGGCGCGAAGCCATATCGAATGCCAATTTTATTGATCGAACAGTGTGCATTACCCCAGCAAAATCGAACGAGCACTATTAATCGAAAAGCAAACTACGAATGATTAATTTATCGAAAATTAGTATAGATATTGAAATGAAATTTCATTACACTTAATTTCTGAACGAAACTATTAACCCAAAAAATTTTTGTCCTACCCACTAACGGAGTAATATTTTGTATACAATGCAGATGCAATACCTAACTTCGTGTGGTGATACCACGGTGATACCTTAGAGAGTGAATTTCAACTAAAAGAATCAGGTTGGTTTTACAACAGTTCTTTATGTAGTTCAAAATAATTACAAGTAATGTAACTCCAATAACTAAATTAAGAGTATCTACTACTTCATACTATCCTATCTTACTTCTTACTAATATTATAAACGCGAAAGTTTGTATGGATGTCTGGATATTAACATGTTTGTTACTCTTTCATGCAAAAACTACGGAATGAATTGGGTGAAACTTTACACTATTATTGTTTGTAATAACCCAGAATAACATAATATAGGCAATAATTTATGACGATCGGTGACAAACTGAATTTCGCGATGGTGAAGCCGCGGGTAAACGCTAGTCTGAAATATAGTATACATTTTATTTATACAAGTTAAGTATGGCCACAAAAAAGCTTTTAGTTTGAATACACCTGCATACCATAAACCAAGTGCAGGATATAATAAAATTTACTACGAGCTTAACTTTATTTGGGAACTTTTGGAATTATTTCTGCGTTTATCTAAGTATCATACAAAAGCTCAGTTGTTTTAATACCATTTTTCGCCAACCATGACAATAGAAAGGAGTATTGACTATTGTGTTTTATGATACAGTTGTTTTTGTCCATTGTTGGCAGCAGTTTCTGTAACGCTTGCGAAAACTTGGTTAAAGTTGCTGATTGACCGGCGTTCTGCGAACAATACAATAAAAATAATAGAACAGCGGCAAAAACAAAATGAGGCATTTTATTTATTGCTTGACGGGGTTATAAGTATTGGAATATTTGTATTAAATATAGCTTCTGTATAAGTTTACAACGCTATTTTGATTCGATTCAGATTTGATCTTAAACCTAGGCTCAAACCACCGACTTTTAGTTGGCCGATAAGTAGTTGGTCTCGCCCGATTCTAATATGTATAAAGAATCGGCCGATACTAAATCGGTGTGATGTGCATACTTTTATACATCTCCAAACTGATCAACAGCCCGACCCAACTATCGGCCAACTATAAGTCGGTGGTCTGTGCCTAGGCTAATGGTTAAAATAAGGTTGCATAAGTGAATAACGGCCTAATACTTTATTGATTTTACCAAACTTATCAAGCGGGTTACCATTTATCATACTGTCGTTTTTAACAAAATCGTACCTCATCATTCGTCAAATTCTCATTTATTTTCTTTTCTATAAACATAAATGGAATATTCGAAGTGAGTCATTGGATGTATCTGGACACTTTTAAAGCCATTTATATCTACTTCATGCTTTTCCCATGAAGCTTAATGTACCTGATAAGAAATTGTAAAAAAAATAGTTGTACCTACCTACTAAACCATTTTTACACTTGTGACTCATTATTTTTTTATTTCATTCATTGTAGCTAAATATTGCGAATTTCTTATCTTGATACTATTGCCAGTTCCCGTGAGACTGGTTTGCACTCATATTTTAAGAACTTTTGGCTTTTGTCCACAGGTGTAGGATGGGTTCAGTGAAAACTTACTTAACTAATGATTACTTAACTAACAACCACTAATAGGTACTTGTTTATTAAGAATTTCTTATATTTTTCACTGCAATCAATTTAAGTTATATTACTAAGTAGGTATATTAATGAAGGGATTTTTAAGATTTATTGACGATGCCATTATCTTTGCTAGGGACTCGCTGCGTTACGAGTAGTTGAGCTCATTATCTACTATACGTTTAGATTATTTTTTGTTAATATGAATTATACCTACTCGTAGTAAACTTATACTGTATACTTTATTAGGTACTAACGTTGTAAGTCACTATAGCCGACTGCAATATTCGCGCCAAGGGAATAATTTCGCAGCGCCTGATATGCGCCTGTGTGACGTCAATGAGTGCGTCGACCGTGCGAGCGGAGCCTGGCGCTAGCACTAGTGTTGTTGGGTCGCCGTCAGAACACGCGCCGAAGGCATCGCATACCTGCACCCAAACTTCTGTGCCGGCCTCTGGAAAATTGTTATAAACTAATGGAGCTTTTACCGCGCCTTCGCTCGCATGGATTTCCTATCTTGCTAATTTATAACATGAAAGTTTCTATGGATGTTTATTACTCTTCCATGTAAAAACTTCTGAACAGATGTTGATGAATCTTTACAGTATTATTGTTTATTACATTAGAATATAAGCTATCATTTATAACGATCTGATTTTCACGCGGACAAAGCCGTGGATAGAAGCTAATAACTTAACTTATATTATTATTAGTAGGAAGAAAGATATGATTTGTACGATTTATTTTTTTATTAAAGATTTGATTGTTTTTTTACCAGACAATAGATTATATTGCGATACTTACTTATCTATATCTTATATTATAAAAGAAAGTCGTGTTAGTTACTCCACTTATAACTCAAGAACGGCTGAACCGATTTAGCTGAAAATTGTCAGGGAAGTAGTTTAGAGCCAGGAAAAGGACATAGGATACTTTTTATCCCGTTCGAAATAAAAAAAAGTCTGCTTATTTATTGCCATTAAGGCGGAACAAAGTTCGCCGGGTCAGCTAGTATGTATATAAAAGAAAGTCGTGTTAGTTACTTCGCTTATAACTCAAGAACGGCTAAACCGATTTAGCTGAAAATTGTCAGGGAGGTAGTTTAGAGCCAGGAGAAGGACATAGGATACTTTTTATCCCGTTCGAAATTAAAAAAAAAGTCTGCTTATTTATTGCCATTAAGGCGGAACAAAGTTCGCCGGGTCAGCTAGTTAATGATAAGTATCGTCGCCAAAAACTTTCCAAAGCTTTTGAAAGTTCTGATTCAAAGCTTGTGATCATGTTGAATTAAGTAACAAGCTTTTCTGTATTTCTTATATTGAAAGTATTTTTTGCAATAAAGAGTTTACTTTACATCTATTATACTTTGTTATTAGTTTCATTTTAATATAATGTTCCCAACAACATTATGTAATTAATGAAGTCATTAGAGAAACCCGTCAATGCCCGTACTAGAATGTTTAATAATATTTTCTTTGTTATTTAAATAAATAAATAAGCAAACATTTATGAAATAGGCCGGAAAGTCCGAATCTTACGTTATTTCAAAGGATATCAATTTAATAACATACCAATATAGGGTAAAATGGTCTCCACAGCGCGATGTTCGATATATGAGGCCAGTAGCAACGATTCATCCCCTATTCGGCAGTAGAACGAGTACTGTAAGGGGATGTCTGGATCATTTACGGGCAGAGTACTGATGCGAAACTCGGTCTCCATCGCAGTTCCTGATTCAGGTGAAATCTAAAACATTTACGTAAGTACTAAGTAAGGATCCAATCTAAAATGTATGGTAACATGTACCTATAGTTATAACTGAGTCTTGAAAACACTTATAAATAAGTTCCTATGTACCTACTAACGGCCTATCAAGTTAACAGAGCAGCTTTACTGAATAGATAGATATTATGTTTAGATGGGTGAAATGTGGTACATTATGATAGGAATACAGTACTTAAGGTATTGTAGGTACCTATGTGCTATTTCGCAAGAAAATATTTTTTATTTTTCCTTGTTTTAAAAACATAGCATGTACGTAAGTAGGTACATTTCTACAAAAATCACTTATACATTACGAAATGAGAAAAACTTTCGCAACTTAGAAAATCGTAAAAATATGTGGCTCATCAGATGAAATGCAGGCTAGGAGCTTTTCCGTTGTAGGTGAAATGAGGTGAAAAACAAAAAATGTAGTATTGTATTGGAACATAACTTTATCAATATAAACTCAATAAACTCACAATCACATCGCCAGCTTTCGGGCTTTTATTCAGCTGGAACCATACATCAGCATACACCACTCCTTCAGTGTCACAGCTGAACGTAAGGGAGCATCCACATTGTGCCACAAATCGTGCTCGGCCCGGTCTGGCTAGGAAGGTAGTAGTCACCTGCCTCCACTCTGTGTCGTTTGTGTAGTCAGCTAACTCGCTTAGGAACTGCTCCTCAAGCGAGTGCACTGTTAGCGTGTCAGTTAGTGCTTCGCCGTGCTAGAAAATACAATGAAGATAATAGAGTCTTATTCAGTCTGGACCTAAAAAACCTAACTTCTGTGTCACAGCTGAATGAAAGTGAGCTTCCATATTGTGGGACAAAACTCGCCCGGCCCGGTCTGGCTAGGAAGGTAGTAGTCACCTGCCTCCATTCTGTATCGTTTGTATAGTCAGCTAACTCGCTTAGCAACTAGCTAGAGGAGCCTCTAGCGATTGTCAGGTAATGCTTTGCCGTGCTAGAGAATACAATGAAGGTTAAGTACGAATACTTCGTAACTTACCCACTTAACTTACTTTTGAATTTTGATGTCTTCAAACTATGCCAAGTTAACTCATAAAAAATCAGGGAAATCTCAATCAATAAATATTTTCAATCATTGGGTATTAGAACCTGTATTTTACATTCAGTTAATTACTAATCGTTTAGCTTAATGTTTATTTACCTACTTATAAATTAATGATAGACAAATAAATTGTTAACTACCTATTTAGTACAATTATTAACCTCAAGTTTGACGCCCGTATTCACAAACAATGCTTGCTTAAGTAAAGCAGAAAATTGAACGCACAGCGTTGAATAGAGCTGTATGATTGGTTCGTGTGTGACCCTGTGCATCCACGCGCACTGTGAGACCTCATAGTAATGTTTGTGAATACGGGTATTAGAATCATAAAGTATGCTATAAAATTAAGAGTAAGTACGAATCTACACTGAAGAACTACAAATCTATTGAGCATCAATTGAGATTTGAGAATTAATATTACACACTTAACTAAACTAAATACTAATTTGAGTCGAAGATTTTTACTTGAAGAAATTATAATATCCTCATTGAAAAGGTTAACTAAGTATTTAAATATATAAAATTTTTAGTTAACCACACTACTTACCTACTATTTGATTTGATTAATAAAACGTATGTACCTGACAATCTTCACATGTATCATTTATTGCAGTTTCCGACTCAGCTTGGTATTCCTCCGACGCGAAGTACCAAGACAGGGAGCAAGACGGTACCACGTTGCTGGCATTGGCTGTGATTTCAACTGTACTGCCTTCATTCAATAGCCTTGCCAATGGATTTATCTGAAAATCAAAAGCTCTTTTACAGAACAGAAACATTTACTTGGCGATCAAACGGATTTCAAGTACTTACATGATTAAGTCCACACACATATGTGTAGTAAGTATATGTATGAGTATTGAGAACGATTTAAAATAAAGTTTCTTAATTAAGTATATTAGTATATTAATTGCAATAAATAATACTACATAAATGTTAGGAAAATATCGAAATAATCCTAGTGGAGACTAATAATATTTATTTACTTTTAGTTAATTTTTCCATCAAAACTCTTGATCTAAAATCCATTCAATAAGTTCTAAGGCTTAATATCGCTGGTAATAATATTAAAATACATACATACTTACGTTTAAATCGTTTTTGTGTACCTACTTTTATAATGTGTTTTGTTCGCGCCACTAATTTTCCAAAAAACAAAAGACAAAAGCGAATCGAAAAATTAAGAAAAACATTATAAGTGGCCAGTATTGAAAAACATGTAAGTAGGTATTGTGATTGTGGTAAGGGTTACATAATAAAACTTTTTTCTAATAACTGACCATTATTATTGTAAAAAAAAGTTATGCTGTGTCTGCGTAAAAAGTTAACTCGTTGATTTATTTATCCATCTTTTATTTAAATTAGTATTTTGTTTGAATCACTAGAATCTAATGTCTTATTGCAAAAATTAAGTAGGAAAATCATCTTGTTATGGACTCAGACTACATGATAAAATACTAATTTGTACAAAATAATTAATCAGTAAGTTCAATAAAAATAAGACAACATACACTTAATACGGGCAGCATTGGTTTCACAGTCACTATTGTAGCATTTGCTAAACTGGTTTGACTGAAAACACTTGCATTCAGTGTGATATAATATCTGAAAAATAAGGTAAGTTACAATTACGACATAAGTTTTTAGGCGTTTAAGTCTGGTCAATAACGAGATTCTTAAATTTACGTTGGTGTCAAAGTTTCACCGAAAAGGAAGAGATTATCCCAATTTTAAAAGAAGTCTGAGAGTCTTCAAATTAATTATAATACGCGGAGGCCGGAGGTGCCTACTATAAAGGCAATTAAGGTATCTACTTAGGCTGGGTAGCACCATCTTTTTTTCCTTTGTTGGCTTTACACGGCTTGTGTGTTGCCATTAGCACCATCTTACTGTATCTTTAACAAACGTCAACAAACTCCATACAAAAAACACCGGTTATCGTTATAGTTACGGTCACTCAGCCTAAGTAGGTACGTAATTTTATTATGTTTTTCGTATTATTTATGAGCGATAGTTTTGTACCCAATCATTTGTACCTAGGTACTTAATTAAGAAATGTTGAGAAATGAGATTTCGAAATTCCACTTAATTATGGGAATTTTTAAGTCGACATTGCTATAATTATAGTACTAATATTAACCTGAAATAATGTAATTGTCTATTAATTAGTAAATGTTTTTTGAAATACGTACTGTAAATATTAAGTATAATAACATTAGTTACTCTTTCTTTACTATACAGGGTGTTAGGTAAATGGGTATATGAGCCGACACTAGCCCATGTTAACATGGTCATATAAATGGTATGGTGAAGTCAGAAATTTGATATCATCATTTATTAAATAGCTTGACCTTATTCAAAGCTTAATAATAATGAGATAGGCTTTCCATTTTTCGTGCTATTTCCTACCTTTTTCTTCTCCTTTACTTCCGTTTTACACAGCTACTAGCGCCATCTGGCGTTTCCCCCCACCAGGCAGTGTTCGCGATTGCGAACTTCTAGCGTCATTGGCGTTTTGTTTTTCGTCGAGTGCGGACGGTCTCACTGAACTGCGTACTAAATTCAGTCGACCGTTATTTTCGTTCCTACCTACGATGTAAGTGATAAAAATTTTTACTTCTTGTAAATTATAAATTAGTTTTTCCCTTGCGGAAATAAAGTTTATTAACGTTTAAACGTTCGAATTTTGTTAAATTATAGTGTCTTCTCCGTTTTTTGTTTTTTATAAAATATCAAATTCCTACAAGTTTTGTGGAGAAAATATAATTGATTTTGAGCTTTTTCTAACTAAAGTTACTTCATAGGATGGATGATTCGGAAACAGTGCAAAATGTGGGGGAAAATGAGGCGCGTGATCAACCAGGTCCATCTAGACCTAGGCCGAGGTCGGAGTCTTCGTCCAGCAGTTCCTCAAGTACGGACTCATCAAGTTCGGATTCCTCGAAGCGCAAGCGGAAACGTCGACATCATCGGCGCCATAAACGGAGCAAGCGGGCTAAACGGTCCGATGCCAGGTTAGAACAATTATTTAAAGAAGTGAGTGATTTACGTTATCATTTGGAGAATAGGAATAATATTGATTTGGACGATTGTATATCACTAGATCATGAATCTTTTGACCAATATTNAAAACGGGATCCACGCGTACGAAGTCGCGGGCGGCCGCTAGTGTTTAAATAAACATTTGTTATTATTTCTAGTAAACTCGTCTATTGGTCAGGCAATAGTTAGTATTTTATATTTGGCGATTAAATAATTATCAGCAAAACGACAGTTAGTAAGTACAGATCATTGATTAATTGGCACGATCAAAATAAATTATTTAATTCAAATTAATAAAATATCAATGAAAGCATCGCGATCGTGCCCTTAACTAGGTCTTTTGATATCAAGGGCAATTTTTTAATAAACGTAATTAGAAACGGGGGAAACGAAAGCCCTGCCCATCCGTTCGAAAGCAACCTGCCTATTGATTGCGCATCGAGTATTTAGTATGGGCAATTATTCGATATAATAGCACTCCACTTTCGCCTCGGGCCGCGATTTAGAGTGATAACATAGTGCACTGCAACCAGCGAGGGTTTAATGGGCAGACTATGTAAATGTAGGAAGAACGTCGCGTAAGTGTTATGGTCAAATGAGTTATTAAGGCGATCGGCGCGAAACTAGAGCTTTTATAAATAGATAGATTTAGATAATTTAAAATCACACGTCTTTGGATTTACCATCAAAGATCTTGGCTGGCTTGGGGGCCGATGGTGGAAGCAAGCTTCACCTTGAATTCTTAAACACAGGGGAACTGACATACCTCCAACTATCGAAACACAAAATTGCTCTTAGGATTGTCGTTAAGGTGACAGACTTCTTAGAAAAGATGTTGGTAGCTAGAACCAGTTCTAACACCAAAATAATACTTTTTGGGTAAGTATTTTTCGTATTTATGGCATAACGAAAACAATCTAAGAGTGGGTTGCACCATCTTACTTTAACTTTGACAAACGTCAAAAATCTGTCAAAATCCATACAAAAACCACCGGTTATCATTAAAGTTACGGTCAAAGTTAGGTGGTGCAACTCACCCTAATTATTATGGAAGTCTATCCCGTGAATTAACTCCATCTGCGCCTACGCACTGACCACCAAATTTCATAACAAGCTTTACATTAATGCCATACAAATATTGCATCAAATAACTATTATCTCAGTGTGTATTCTGCTACTGTATATTTTACGTGCGCGGGCGCACAGATCTTTCGACCAATATTTAATGTGAGCCACTATTAAGAAATTATAGGATTAAATGATATCTAGAAATAAGATACTACAAATTGCATAAGATTAATTCAATATCATTGTACCTTGCTTACGTACATATACTTAATAAAATATCTATCTAGTACTTACTACTGCTTAGCGTGTCGTTCCACTTTAGAAATTTTGCACATTTTATATCAATAAAAGTGGTAGTAGTTAATCTAATATACTTCTATTAGACATGTTAGGTTAAATTTCAACGGCAAAATTGCGCATATTATTATTTTGAACAGGAAATAATCATAATAAAATATTGCTCTATCGATACCAAGGAAAATACATTTATATGTAAACAGTGCTAATAAAAATTGAGTTACGAGCAAAAAATATTTATCATTAAAATATGCAAGACATTAAATGCAAATGTTTGTTGCAAGCGGTTAAATGGACCAAGTCTAGGCACTTGCTCTAGTGCTAGTGATATTTATAAGACACCAGTAATATGATAAATTATCATTAATAAGTTAATTGTGTTAATTTATCATTTATAAGTTTTCAAATATTTATATCATATCAAATATTTCGTCAATTTCCTTAACACATTGGTTCCCAACCTGCGACCGCTGAGAGAATGTATATTTTTTGTATGGTCGAAAGGGGGCGCGTCTCAAATAAGTTTGGGAACCAATGCTCTAACAGTTCTATATGTAAGGTTTGCAAAGAAAAATCCATGTTCGAAAAATCTGTAAGAGACATCATTCCTCCACGTCAATTAAATGATACGTCCTTAAAAGTGACTAAGTTTAAACCTAATATATTCGTAAAATAAATAAATAAAAATAAAATGGATTAATAAAAAAACACTTTCCATGAAGACGAATTACGATACAGCATAAATCTAATATGAACACCACAAAAGTCTTCTAATATAATTAGTTAATCAAAATGGGCAAACTACAAAAGTAATAGGTAACTCAAATCTGTGCACGTTACAAAAGAAAGTCAATTCCACGACATACTGAGAACTTTACGGTCGTTTAAACTGTAACAGCATAAGTTTTCGGCAACTTTGTGCACAAAAACTGGTAGTTTATTATACGGACAAAGTATTAACTGGCCAATGACATGTGCATGGCGACTCCTTCATAATTTATGTCTGTTTGCGTTCCCCCAAGAATTCGCACCTGTGGGTATTACTGCTTGTATAACAATGTTTAAAACGTATTAAACTGTTTAAACCACACGTTATGTACCTACTTTTAGTTACTACAAAGCTAATAATGAAAACTTAGTAAAAAAGTAAGAATAATATATTATTATTGTGACTATTATGACAATTCTTAGTTGGTAATAACAGGACAAATTATACTACATTTTTAAATGACAAAGTAAGCTTTTAATCTGTAAAAACTTGTTTTTATTTAGATAGGGTGTCGTAACATGTCATAATTATATTAGTAGAGAGTTACTTTTCAGTAACAATTTTAATATAAATACATAATTAGTTTTGTTGCGTTTCACAAACTCCAATTAAAAAAAAACAAGAATTATAGAATGACAATTGCACCATCAATACTTTATTTATCAAATATCGTGGAGGCGCGGTGGAAAGGTCGCTGGTTCAACGACATACTGGGGTCACCACATCGAGGAGGAAACTCGGACATAGAAGCCAGCCACAACCTTTTACATCGGACCTAACTTTTGTCTCATTCAAAAACTTGGCAAGTGAATGTTTTTGCAACTTTTTTTATGCATAACAAGGCAGGTATTTGACACCATCGCACCTGATGTTAAGTGGGATTAACTTCCCGTGGGGTCTAAGGAGATTTTTTTTACGAAGACATCAGAGACCAATTAGAATCACATACCTTCTGCTACTGTGAATTAAGTTGTGGACTAAATCACGTTACTGCAGCTGGTGGTAGTTATATGCTCGAAATAAGGAGAATTATTATGAAAGCAACTTGAGCAACATTCGCTTCTAAAATTAAATAAAAAATGTTGCTAATCATCAAGGCTCTAATCTCGCAAATTGTTCTCTTTATAGTAACATGACGCAAACACAATTTCACAATCGCTATTTGGGGTTTTGTAAAGTATATCCAAAAATTATCCACGTGCCTTAAGTAACGAAATGTTCTATTTAAAATTCCGCTCAAGGATAAAAAGTAGTGAAACTGTTTTGAAACGCCCAAACGCTTGGAATCCCTATCGCGGTTCACGTTCGCGGAGTTTGTGTTTACAATGCCGGCGTTTGAACTACAGTTGAGTAAGTGGGGGGAGGGGGTAGGAACAAGGGTAAAAATAATAAAATTGTGTGACACTGTAAGAAATTGCTACTAAAGGTTAACTTATTTTATGAAATGTTCAAGCATTAAGTTTAGTGTATTTTTGTTTGAAATGAAAGAATATAGTGCTAAGTGCAGCTGCTGTTGAAATGGAATATCCTAGGATTAAGCCACTGAAATTTAAGTGCAACAGTGGACTGACGTGGGCAGCATATAAATTATTAAGCTGATAGAGAACTAGACTAAAAGTATACGTTTTTTAGGTCACCATAACTAGCCAACCCAGTTTTAGTTTTATGCCGAATTTAAGAATAAAAGTAAGTTATCATTTTCTCGTATT